AGTCCCTGGCATCTTTAAGACCTACAGACTTTTATTCAAGAAAGGTATGAGCTTTTGTGTGTCAACAACCTCAGATATGCAGAAAGTGAAGAGGACTTAAAGAGCCTCTTGCTTAGGGTAAAAGAGGAGAGCACAAAAGTGGGCTTGAAGCTCAACATAAAAAAAACTAAGATCATGGCATCCGGCCCCATCACTCCTTGGCAAATAGAAGGGGAAGTCGTGGAAGTAGTGACAGACTTCAGGTTCCTGGGATCCGAGATCACCGCTGACTGTGACAGCAGCCATGAAATTAAAAGATGCCTGCTCCTTGGGAGGAAAGCGATGGCAAACCTAAACAGCATGATAAAAAGTAGAGACATCACCCTGCCAACAAAAGTCCGCATGGTCAAAGCAATGGTATTCCCAGTAGTCATGTATGGCTGCGAGAGTTGGACTATAAGGAAGGCCGAGCGCCGAAGAATAGATTCTTTTGAATTATGGTGCTGGAGAAGACTCTTGAGAGTCCCTTGGATTGCTGCAAGAAGATCAAATCAGTCAATCCTAAAAGAAATCAACCCTGACTGTTCCCTGGAAGGCCAGATAATGAAACTGAAGCTCAAATACTTTGGCCACCAAATGAGAAGGGAGCACTCACTGGAGAAGACCCTGATGCTGGGAAAGACTGAAGGTCAAAGAAGACGGGGACGGCAAAGGATGAGATGGTTAGACAGTGTCATCGATGCAACGAACATGAAATTGAGCAAACTTCAGAGGACGACGGAAGACAGGAAGGCCTGGTGTGATCTGGCCCATGGGGTCACGAAGAGTCGGACTCGACTGCGACTGAACAACAACAACAACAAATGGCATCCATACAATGAAGGTGGTTTGGTGACAACGACAGGTGTTATAGATGAAATGAAGAAACTTCAGAAAATAGTTGAGGAAAAACCAGAAAGGGTTGAAGCAGCATTCAGGATTCTGGAAAAAGGCTTCATTTATTCACAGTGGAACCATTAGGGTTGCCAGCCTCCAGGTGGGGCCTGGAGATCTGCTTTTACAATTGATCTCCAGCTGACAGAGATCAGCTCCCCTGGAGAAAACCGCTGCTTTGGAGGGTGCACTCTATGGCACTGTACCCTGCTGAGGCCCCTCCCCTCCCCAACACCCCCCCTCTCCTGGATCCACCCCCAAAATCTCCAGGTATTTTTCAACCCAGACCTGGCAACCCTAGCAATCATAAGGGGTGGAGGCCAAAAGTGTTCAAGGTAAGGTTGCCTGCTCTGGATTGGAAAATACATGGGAGATTTTCAGAGTGGAGCCTTGAAAGGGAAGTGTTTGGGGAGGGGAGGGACCTTAGCAAGGTACAATGCCATAGAGTCCACCCCCCAAAGCAGCTGTTTTCTCCAGAGAGATCTCCACTCCAGGTCCCACCTGGAGACTGGAAACCCTTTTTGTCCACATGGAATTGGATAATATTTTGAGTTGAGTTGCCCTGTCTGGCAACTGAATTGTTTTAGATGGTTTTATGATTGTCACAATTGTTATTTATGTGTTTTACCTCTCATGTAAGCCACCATGAGCCTGCCCTGGCGGGGATGGCAGGGTATAAATTGAAGAGAGAGAGCGATAGCACATATTGATATGCTTTTACTAAAGTCATCTTTAGCTCTGTAACCTGATTGGATGTTAACTATGTGAGGGCGTGGCTACCCCAGCCCAGGAGAGTTTAAAAGGAGCTATGCTCCACTGTTGTTTGTTGTGTTGTCGAGTTGTCTGATGCTGTGTGATCTTTGGACGTTCTCGTTCTCAGTAAAGCTGATTCACTTTGTTACTTACTTCATTGTTGAGTTGCATACGTAACATAACTGATGCATAAATAAGGTCAAGATGCATAAATAACAAGCTGCATAAATAAATTAGAGTCAAGATGCATAAATAATTAGCTAAAATAGGATTAATGCAGTTGGTTAGACCGGTGAATACCAGCAAATTAGCAAACTTCTACCCAGAATAAAGGTGCCACTGGACTCAAATTTTGTTCTGTAGCTTCAGACCAACACAGCTACCCATCTGAAGCTTCCTATAAATAAATGGTATTTGACACCGTTTTTGGTTGCTGCACCTAGAATTATTTTAGCACAGAACTGAAAACAGAATATGCTTCCTGTCAAGAGAAGAGCAGTCTCCTGTTAAAATTCAGGTCACAAGATTCCCCCCTCCCCCATTTTCAGCTTAGACGAATTCTGCATTGGTTTTTCCCCTCCGCTGTTTTGTGAAACCCACATTGGAACAGAAATTCCCCTCTGCATTGCATGCTGCTTTCATTTTCTTTGATCATCAGATTTTATAGTACCCTTCACACTCTATGCTTTAGCTTTCTTTGATCATCGGATTTTATGGCACTTTTGTTATAAGCACAGTTTATGAAACACTTTGTACTCTGCCACTGCACGTAGCACTTCCATGGTACATATGTTAAGTGCCATTTATGATTCTAACTTCATGAATGTTTTCAGGTATTAACTTTGGTTCAGTTGTGACTGTTGTTTGGATGCATGCTGGGAAGGTAAAATGCTGAAGCTTGTGACCTTGCTTGTTATGGCCAGCTGTAACTGCACATGTCCCTGATGTCAGTTAGCTTGCATTAGATGGAAACCATACTACCCGATGTACCCGTATTTGTTACATTAGATACTTTTTATCATTTCATAGCCTGGGAAGAAGAAGGCTCATTGTTCAAATGAAGGAGATATATTTTTGCCTGAGAAAGTCCAACCTACAGGCCTGGGCCCAATCAGAATGGTGTGACGAATATATGACAAAGTCTGATGGAACCAATAATTATGATTTATTTCTAACTGTCATAGGGGGTATAAAACTTTATGTCTCCCATTGTAACTTTAGGGAGAGCTGTGGGGTCCAAAACCTTCTTGGATCTGCACCTCCCTCCTTTGTTGATCAATAAAGTACAAGTTCTGATTCTGCTCTACAGGATTGTACTGAGTGTTTTCTCAAATTGGGCTGGGGAAGCACATACACTCAGACAGGATTATTTTCTGTCTTTGCAATCAGTATGGTGTTGCCCCGAGGTATTTAAATGCGGTTTTGAGCAGCACTTTTTCCTCCCAGTTGAGAAAATGTGGAGCGAATGCTAGATGCAGAATCGCCCTTAGAGAGCCACAGGAAGCAACCCTCCCCAGCTCAGACTGTTCTCACCTCAAGGTTGCTTCCAACAGTCCTGCTAATTAGCTCACTGGTTTCAGCTGGATTGGGAGGAGGGAGTTCATTCATCTTCCAGAAAACGTTCCCAGAACACTGTTCTGATTGGTTGAAAGAGGTCAGAAAATCAGTGGCCAAGGATCCTATAAAGAGATTATTCCTTATCATCCTCATCCTTATCTTTGCCCACCATGTGCCCTTTTGGCTGTGTTACGCCTTTTTTTATTTATACCGAATTGAACTGAATTTAGCCAAAGCTATATAAAGTAAGAAGTCAACATATGTGCTGTAACAACCTTCTCAGTTTTATTTATTTGTTTATTTAACTTTCAATTTATAGACCGCTCACCCCCTAAGGGCTTTGAGCGGTTTACATTTGTACAACTACTAATTACATTACCTTTACTAGGACCACACACAATGAGGGGGAAGTGACTACCTATCAGGCACCCATGGCAGGGTCTTAGTTGTTGTTTCTTTTTGCAGAGGTTCTTCAATCCAGGCGACGACATTCCGGGCATGGGTAAAAAGCGTCTGACAGTGCGCACTCCACAGCTGGCCTCTGTCCCAATTGGCTCCGGCCTACTGCGTTGCCCCACCGCCGTGCTTCGCTGGCCAATCTCCGCTCGGGCCGCTCGACTCGACCACCGCCACCATGTTTCGCCGCCACCACGCTCCGCCGCCATCACAAGGGAAGGAAGGGTGCCCCCCCCCCGCTCTAAGAGCAGGTACCCATTCATCTACTTGCCCATACGGGCTTTCGAGCCGCTGGGTGGGCGGGAGCTGGGATATAGACCGGGAACTCACCCCGGCCACGGTGGGACTCGAACAGCCGAAGCTGTTCGGTCAGATGGAATGCAGGCTTCATTTACTGCCTGTGCCACTGCTCCCTGTGAGACTGGGTTAAGTGTATTTAGGAAGTCAGCTTTGTTGTTCTCATGTGTTTGAACCTTTATTGGGACCATACTGTTTTTAAATCTTTTGTCTTTACTTTCTTCACAATAAAGCCTCTTTTATCTTTATGTTGATGTTCCTATAAGTTCACTGCTCCAAACCTATAGTAAGCCAGGTTACATTATCAACACAGGGTCTTGTTCTGGGGTCTCAGGTTGAGATAGGGGAACAGTTCTCTCAGGATAAGGCAGAAAAGCCTTGACATTTCCAAAGATAGAAATTTGGGTAAGTAAAGTGTAGCATATCATGTTAGTGGACAATATTTCTATAATGAAAATAAACTTTTCAAAGAAGATTCAAGAGCAAAACTTTGTTATTTAGTACTGGACTGTTTTATTGAATACTGGAATCAAAACTTTTAATCTGACACTCTTAATAAGGAAGTGTGTGAGAAACCCAAGTCTGGGTTCCCCTGGGTTATTGCTTCTTGCCCCTTGAGCGATACCCAGCTCTGTGAGTCCTCAGGGTTGAATGCAAGCAAGTAAAACAGACCTTTATATATATACTTATTAAAGGGTTTTTTAAAAAGAATTCACTATGCAGTACAACCTGTATAGGTTTTGTGTGTGTGTGTGTGTATTATTTAGAGGAAACAAAGCGATAGTATAAGAAACATACAGAAAGGAAAATAAGAGTTATCTAACATAATTCTATATATCAAATATGATTATATGTAACAAAGTGTAAAAGACAGAAAGTATTCATTACACTGAAATATTTCAAGGACTTTGTCTATAATGTACAATGATGTTTACTTCTAATGGGATACATTTATATTCATCATTTTACATAACTAGTCTGTTTTGTAGCTACAGTATTAGTTTCGTTATTGCTACATAGCCAGTATTACCCTGTGTGAATTTTCTGATGTAAAGTAAGGCTATCCTTCCGACTGAAGCTCTTCCCACATTCCAAACATTTGTATGGTGTCTCCCCTGTATGAATTCTCTGATGTACGGTCAGGCTGCACTTCACAGAGAAGCTTTTTCCACACTCCAAGCATTTATATGGCTTCTCCTTTGTGTGAGTCCTATGGTGTAGAGTTAGGTGCTGACGGTAAGAAAAGCTCTTTCCACATTCCAAGCATTTATATGGCTTCTCCCCTGTGTGAATTCTCTTATGCTGAATAAGGCTTCCCTTAACAGAAAAACTCTTGCTACAGTCTGAGCATTTAAATGGCTTCTCCCCGGTGTGAATTCTCTTATGCTGAATAAGGCTTGCTTTAGAAGAAAAGCTCCTGCTACAATCTGAGCATGTAAATGGCTTTTCCCCTGTGTGAACTCTGTGATGAGCTCTCAGGTATGATTTACAAGAAAAGCTTCTGCTACAATCTGAGCATTTGTATGGTTTCTCCTGTTTGTGAATGTTTTTATGTGTAGCAAGGCTGTTTCTTCCACTGAAGCTCTTCCCACACTCCAAGCATTTATAAGGCTTCTCCTTTGTGTGCACTCTCTTATGATAAATAAGGCCTGATCCATCAGCAAAGCACTTGTTGCAGTATGGGCATCTGTAAGGCTTTTCCCCCGTGTGCACCCTCTGATGTTGAATAAGAGAGGATTTATTAGAAAACCTCTTGCTACAAACAGAACACTCATATGGTTTTTCCAGTGTGTGAACTCTGTGATGTATAGTAAGGTGACCACTGCATATGAAACTCTTTCCACATTCTAAGCATTTATATGGCTTCTCCCCTGTGTGAGTTTTTTGATGTGAAGCAAGGATGCGGTCACAACTGAAGTTCTTCCCACACTCAAAGCATTTGTATGGCTTGTCTCCAGTGTGAATTTTCTGATGTGCAGCAAGGATGTGATTCCGATTGAAGCTCTTCCCACACTCCAAGCATTTATATGGCTTTTCCCCTGTGTGAATCCTCTGATGTACAGCAAGGCTGTGCTTCCGAGTGAAGCTCTTCCAACACTCTGAGCATTTGTATGGCTTCTCTCCTGTGTGAATTTTCTGATGTACAGTAAGACTATCCTTCCGACTGAAGCTCTTCCAACATTCCAAGCATTTATAGGGCTTCTCCCCACTGTGAACTCTCTGATGTGCAGTAAGGTGTTCTCTCAGCCTGAAGCTCCTCCCACACTCCAAGCATTTGTGTTGCTTCTCTCCTGTGTGAATTTTCCGATGTAAAGTAAGATTGGCATTAATAGAGAAGCTCTTCCCACACTCCAAGCATCTATATGGCTTCTCCCCTGTGTGAATCCTCTGATGTAAAACAAGACTGTCTTTCCGACCAAAGCTCTTCCAACACTCTAAGCATTTGTATGGCTTCTCCCCTGTGTGAATTTTCTTATGATTACTCAGATTGGAACTCTGAGAGAAGCTCTTCTCACACTCCAAGCATTTGTAAGGCTTCTCCCCACTGTGAATTCTCTGATGTACAGTAAGATCACTTCTCCGCTTGAAGCTCTTCCCACACTCCAAGCATCTGTGTGGCTTCTCCCCTGTGTGGATTTTCTGATGTAAAATAAGATGTGCATTATTAGAGAAGCTCTTCCCACACTCCAAGCATCTATATGGCTTCTTGTCCATTGGAATGTTTTTTTCTTCCCTAATCCTAGATTGGTAGCTGAATCCTTTCCCATTCACACAGTATTTATGCCTTCTTTTTTCTTTCTGAATGTTATTGTAGCCTGTCATCTCACGCAAGCTCCTGCACTGACCAGCAACCAGTTCCTTCCTCTGTTCCCGCTGTGCTTCTGTTTTCCTTCTCAGCGGCATCTTTCTCAAATTTTGTTTCCCAGGTTCCTCTTCTGCTTCCAGATCCTCAATTCTTGCCAGAGACACCCCTCCTGGTTCCCTGTCACTCTCCATCTCCCGCTCATATCCTGATGGAATAAAGAGAGAAATCAAATTAGCCCCAGGGCCCGCTTAGCTGCAGGGCTGTTTTTGTAGCAGGAACTCCTTTGCATATTAGGCGACACGCCCCTAATGCAGCCAGTCCTCCAAGAGCTTACAGTAGCCCCTGTAAGAAGAGCTCTGTAAGCTCTTGGAGGATTGGCTACATTAGGGGTGTGTCGCCTAATATGCAAAGGAGTTCTTGCTACAAAAAGAGCCCTGATTTCCAAACTGAGAACCAGAGGCCTGGAAAAGCCTCAGCAATCTCCAAAAAGCAGCTTTGTTTTAGTTCCCTGGGGTTACTTTTAAGAACGCTGTGGAAGAGCAACCAGCCACCTAAGATGAGGCTTCCCTTCTTTCCGGATATTATGTTGGAAGGAAGAGAGATAGAGGGTGATTGGCTTCTCAGAACTAGAGGAGTTAGCTGTGTTAGCCTGGTGTCGCAAAATAGTAAAAAGCCCAGTAGCATCTTTAAGACTAACAAACTTTATGGTAGCATAAGCTTTTGAGAAACACAGCTCTCTTCGTCAGATGCATGGAGGTTACCCTTAAATACTACCAACACCTTAAATACTACCAACATTTGTGTCAGGGGATGAGCTTTTCTGAGTCACCACTCACTTCCTCAGAAGAAGAAGAAACTAGACCTGCAGCTGTTGTGTCTTGAAAGAGCTATGCATTCCCTGTCCTGCTTGGTCTGGCCATGACACGGCTGGAGGTTGCAGCCACGAGAAGGTTCCAGTATGAAAACAGGACACCTTTTACATGGATTATATCCTTCCTTAGACATAAGAGATGGAGGTCCCATAGGGAAAAAAATGGTATGAAATACCCTGAAACGGCCCCTTCATTGTCTTGTTTCCCCCACCCCGATTTTCCTTCCTGGTTAGGAGGTCTTCCAGGTATGCCCAAACCATTTTTCCCTCTAAGCTGAGTTAGTGTGAGCTAGCTCACAGTTTTTTAGCCTCTGGCTCACACATTTTTGTCTTCGCTCAGGAAGGATGGCTGCAGAGCAAACTAATTAATCCAGTAGCCCTAATGGCTCGCTCACCACTTTAATGCCAGTCACTCACCACGTAGAATTTTTGCTCACAAGACTCCACAGCTTAGAGGGAGCATTGTCCCAAACTGAAAACCAGTAAAACAATGGGCAGCATCACCCTGACTTCCTCAACCTGGCCCGTTTTGCTTCCAAGGGGATAGGCAGGGGGACTCCTGCTTTGTTGGGGCCCACGAGGGAACACAGGAGAAGGGGCAGAAAACTCACTCCCCAACCCGAATCTCCCTTTCCAGGATAACAGACCCACTTCAGGGCACAAAGAGGAGACCCTTTCTGGCTCTGCCTCTCGTGTTTCCCCAGCAGGAGTCTAAAGGATACTCACGCTCACCCTGCTCAGGGGGGAAGGAAATGTTCTCTTGGGGTTCTTCAGGTAAATTCTCCTGCGCTTCCTCTGAGGCAAGTTCCCTCAAAGTCCCATCTGTGTGAAGGGGAGACAAAGAGGTAATCTTTGGTTTACTGAAAGAGAAAATCTGAGAAAGGAGAGGAGCAAATTCTTCTAGGATGTCTTCCAGGAGACAGGACTGGCCTATGGAAAATGTGGGCCCTTTGGGGGTTCACATACGGACAGGTGTCATGCCACAGGAGGAAACTCAGAGAGCGACAGATCTGTCTTTCATGGGTGGAATTAAATACCATCCCAATTCTTAGACCCTGAAGGGTCCCTCAGCCCATGCAAGTAAAGTACCTGCTGGTAGCAGTGTTTCCTTGGCATCCTCAACAAATGCTTCTTCCTCCCGGTCAGAAAAGTAGTCCTCTTTGAGAAGCTGTGTTCCACCTGGGCAAATTCAAGAAGAACACCCCATTTACACTTGACCTGTCTTATACACAACTACACATAATCAAGTTTTGATTGGTATTTCCTGCGCTTTATCGTTGCTTCTTGGTCTGTGTGTTCTCCAAACCGTAGTGGATTTTTAATTTGGCTCCCGCATAACACCACATATTTTTGTCACACCTCTACGTGCAGGGGGCTCTGTTTGCCTTTGCACTCCCAGCAGAAATGAGAGCAAACAGGATATTGCCCTAGTCTGGAAGCAAGCTACATGGGGGGCTAATGAGAACCTCCACCTTCAGAGGCAGTCATCCTCGGAATACCAGTGCCAGGAGGCAACACCATGGGAAGGCCTCAGCCAGTCTGGCATGGTGGTTAGGAGCACGGACTCTAATCTGGGAGAACCAGTTTTGATTCCCCACTCCTCCTCCACATGCAGCTGCTGGTGTGACCTTGGGTCAGTCACAAATTCTCTCAGAGCTGTTCTCTCAAGAGCAGTCCTCGAGAGAGAGCTCTCTCAGCTCCACCTACCTCACTGGGTGTCTGTTGTGGGGAGGGGAAGGGAAAGGAGATTGTAAGGTGCTTTGAGACCCCTTCCGGTAGTGAAGGGTGGGATATAAATCCAATCTTTTCTGCTGCTTCTTCTCTATGCCCTGTTGCTGGCCCTCCAGAGGAACTGGTTGGCCACAGTGTGAGACAGGAAGCGGGGTTAGAAGGACTGTTAGTCTGATCCAGCAGGGCTCTTCTTAAATTCTTATGAGTAGAATTTGACCTGGTGAGCCTTATACCAAGTCAGGCCACTGGTCCATCTCTGGCACATTATCATCAACTTGGGTCTCGGGCACAGAAATGTCTTTCCCCGCATGTCCTATCTGAGATCTGTTCACTGGAGGTGCTGGGATTTGAACATGGGACCTCCTGCATGCAAAGCAAGGGCTCTGGCCACTGGGCTACAGCTCCTGCTCTGCACAGCAGAAGGATGTGATGTTTTGAGGTCATCCCAGAGGAAGGAGCCAGAAACCAAACAAGTAGCTGTTGTTGTTATCTCAATAGAGACCTCGTGTACCTGCTCTCTAATTAGGAGACACAAGGGAGCCAAAAAACCTGGAAGAATACAAACCAAGCTTTATTGCAACAAGGCGGGAAAAACCATAAGAGTTGTTTTTCCGAAATTTACAGGGTTACACACATACAGTTTTGACAAGCAGAGGCGTATTCCATATTTGGCTATTTCCTATAGTTATCTGTCTCAACGTTTATTCTAGGAAACTTGACATTTCACCCGAACCAAGTCCTGTCCTTTCATGTTATCAATGATCAGTGCAAGCTACCCGATTTACTCCCATCAATGACCTGATTTAGCGTACTGCCCAAGTGCACCTGTAATCCCTTAATAGATATTCTCTAAATAACATTGCTTTGAAGTAAATTTAAAAGTGCATATGCATAACTTTATCTTGTATTACTATTTTCTTCTTTTTCTGTTCAAGTAGGCGCTACACAGGTGTGTTTCAATTAGTATGCATAGCTGAGAGTCGGCGAGGCGTGACAGTTAGTGGCTTAATCAGTTACTTATCAGATACCTTTTGTTAGCAAAGGCTGGATAGATTTCTAAGGCCCCAATCTAAGACCCTATAGAGATTTGGGGTCTTAATTAAGCCAAGATCCATCATTGTTTCTTGGAGCAGCTGTGGATTTGCTGTTCTATCCAGTCTGAACACTTTTACTCAGTTTTACTCCATTGGATTTATACCCTGCTCTTCACTACCCAAAGGAGTCTCAGAGCAGCTTACAATCTCCTTTCCCTTCCCGTCCCCACAACAGACACCCTGTGAGGTAGGTGGGGCTGAGAGAACTCTCTTGAGGACTGCCCTTGAGAGAACAGCTCCGAGAGAACTTGTGACTGACCCAAGGTCACACCAGCAGCTGCATGTAGAAGAGTGGGGAATCAAACCTGGTTCTCCCAGATTAGAGTCCATGCTCTTAACCACTATACCAAACTGGCAGATGGATCTCCCACAGAAAAATTCCTAAATAGTTTCCTGAAATGACCCCTTTCTTGCCTGACTTCCCCTCTCTTACCTGACAAGAGGACACCTGCACAGAGTCCCGATTCCCCAGAGCTCTGGAGGAAGGACGTTTCCCTCGGATGCTGCTCAGAGTCGAAGAACGGCTCAGGAACCCAAAGCCCTTCAAGGGGGAGCAGAAAAAGAACATGAAAGGATTTAGTCCTTCCGAGAATGTCTGGGTGCCAAAAATTTACGAATGCTTGGGGGTTCACAGGTTAGGGTTCCCAACCTCCAGGTGGGGCCTGGAGTTCTCCTTGGAATAGCAACTGATCTGCAGACTACAGCGATCAGGTTGTCTGGAGGAAATGGCCGCTTCAGAGGGTGGACTCCATTCATTTATTCATTTATTTAAACTTATGAATCGTCCACGCTGCAAGGCAGGCTCTGGGCGATTTGCAACACTACAAACAGTTAAAAATACAGTCGATATGTACTCAAAGTCACAAATAATAAACATGGAACTGGAACCAATCAGGATGGCGATAAATGGCATCAGATCCCTGCTGAGTTCTCTCCCCCAAATGGCACCTTCCCCAGGCCACCCCCCCAAAAAAAAATCTCCGGGAATTTCCCAAGCTGGAGTTGGCAACCCTAGCTACTGGAGAGAGAAGTTATTTCCAGTATTCCAATGACCGACAAGAAGAGGGAAAGCACCAGGCTGTAAGCGGACATAAACACTGAAATGACGGGGAAGGAGGAGAAACTGCAGGGTAGGGAAGTCGACTTTTCAGAGCTGCGGAGTGAAAAACTGGAACACGTGTTGCCTGTTTTCCAGGGCGGTGGT